ATCAACAACTCCTCCAGGGTGGTTCTTGCTCGCCTCGTCGTGAGTCATTGTGACAAATCTACGGCTGTTATTTGGATCTGTTTCAAAGGTAAAACTTGATTTTGTTAAGCTTCTTTGACCCTCACGACCCCTTCTGCACCAATACAGGGTGGTATGGAACCAAACATTTCTTAGTAAGCCATGTGGACTTGAAGGAAAGATCGCTTGACTTGATTTTAGCTTCAACAGATCTTGTTTTTCGAGGGCAGGTTTGTGGGTAGTAGTGTCGTTTCCTTCACACTTTAACTGCTTGATTTTAGCGTCTAGCATCTGGTTAGAAAGGAAAAAGACTGGGTTTTTGCAGATCTTGAAACCTCTATTCWGTGGGGGTCCGTTGAGAAACCTTTCAATAGCGTAACGGAAACCCAAAAGAGCGGACCGGCTGTAATTTTCTCCATCTTTGCTTCGGGCCTCTGCATAAAACTTTCGTAGGGCCGCGTCGAGATCACTTTCCTCCATTTCCTCGAGTTTTGTTTCAATATTTCTCTCTTGACACCATTCTGAAATTAAATAAATCAAGGTTCAGATGTTTRCTTGTTTCTTTGTTTTATTTTTACTACTATTAAGAAATACTTTAAGTTGTTAAACAACCATAAGGTAACATCACAAAACACTTACAAATCCGCTTTTTGCAAATAAAACTAATAAGTCCTGGAAATTCAGTGTTTTTTTTTATTCTAATAATATACTGTTCATAGAAGTAACTAAACGAACATCAAAACTATAATGCACTCACCTCTGAACACCGAAACTCCCCACTTTGTCGTATAATTTGTTTTCTTGCTCGGGGCACTTGCAACAATTTCGTCTAGCGCAGTCTCTTCAAGCTCCGTGAATCTTGTTTTCTTTTCAGCGGGCTGTATTATACCATTTTCTTTATTTTCTATTTCATCAATTTCTGCTAGTGCATTCTCGTCAAGTTGGTCAAGGCCGTCGAAGTCAAAACGRATGTCAAAATCTGGATTTTCTTCATTATGCGTCGCCATTTTGTATTTTTACCGAGAAATGCAGCGACTCTTCACTCGGAAGCCGTGTTTCTATGCTCTCATAGAAACACGGTTTTTTGCGCTTTTCAACCAATCAGCGCGTGCGTTAATAATTATTTTATAATATTAATTAGAACTGCGTAGGTGTGAATACAATAGGCTGTAGAGGTGTCAAGTGTTCTTCAGGTAGAATTTGTTTTCGTGTCGGCATTTAGAGATGAGTTCTGATCTTTTGTTTAGTATATTGTCGTTACTGTGTTTAATTATCATAAGTTTTTCTGTAAGGCAGAGGTCGCATCTTTATTTATTTATTTATTTATTTATTTATTTATTTATTTATTTATTTATTTATTAGCAATATTTCAACAGGCCACCCAATTCAGCGTAGGCTGGTTTAAATGGGGGCCTGCAAACAATTTACAAGACATATTCAATGCATTACATCACATTACATTATATTACATAAACTCATTACAATTACATTACATTACATCGTTTGGATATGTTGTTGTAGGGTCTTGCACGGCTGATGATTGTCCATTTGATGTTGAAGTCTTGTTTTTTGTCTTTTAGTTGCCAGATGTACTTAGAAAGTTCGGTGCTGTTGATGTGTTTTCTGTGTTTAAATGTAGATTTGTGCTGCGAGAATCTTTGTTTGAATGTTCCTTCTGTCAGTCCGATGTAGTTCTTGGTTGTGTTGCTGGTTGTGACTTGCGCGTTGTAGATTACACTGGTAGTTAAGCATTTGTTGTCTAGCGGGCATTGGTCTTTATTGCGGCAGTTGCATTGTTCTCCGGTGGTTGTTTGGCGTTGTTGTCGGCGTTTGTTACTTTCATGTTGTGTTTGTTGATAACTGTTTTCATGTTGTCCATACAGCTGTAGCTGACTTTTACGTTATTTTTGTTGAAGAGGCTGTGGTATTTATGCTGGTTCGGGAAGTGCTTAGATATGAGTTTCAGGAATGTTCTGCCAATGTTCGTCTTAACGTTTTTACTGAAAGGAGGGTTGTACCATATAATGTTTCTTTGTCTGTTGCGTCGGGGGCGTGCTGGTTGATTGTCTTTGTTGTATATTAGTGTTGCAGAGTGTCCGCTGGCTTTCAGAGCAGTTTCGTAGATTGGTTTGGCCTTGTTAAATTCGTGTTCGTTGCATGAGTTGTCGGAGATGCGGCGGTTGATGGATGCTGGAAGTTGCTTTAATATGTTAGGCGGGTGGTTAGACTTTGTGTTGATGTACAGTGGTTCGTTGTTTGGCTTTCTGTAGGGGCAGTAGGTACCTTTTGTTAGGTCGAAAGTAACGTCCAGGTAGTTAACAATTTAACATCTCCGGACCACAAGCTGAACGCACCAGAAAAGACATCACAAGACGCTTCAAGACACATGGACTTAACATCACCATACAAACTAACTTGAATGTTTATCATTAAATACTGTCTGATGAGTGCGTAGCACGAAACTCGGAGTAACAGCAAAAATCTTGCCTCTTTGATATTATATATATAACTAGCTCTACACTTTATGTGTATTGAGCACTCTTTAATGAGATCAGCTACTTCCTCATACAATTATATAGTTAAATACAATTATTTATAAAATAAAACTTTTCACGCTCGTCACGTTACGCCTTGAATAGAACCACGATGATGATAATAGCCAGCAGTATCAACAGTACGGCAAACAGTGCCATAAGACATGTTACACTTATATACCAGGGCTCTAGATTCTGCAGAGTAAAATACAAATTATAACAAGGGTCAATGATTTGTCAAAGCATTATTTGGCTGGACGGTTGTTTCACTGGCTGGTAATGAACATTTGTAAGCATTTGTGGTTTGGTACAAGCCATGATAGAACTAAGCTTATCTAGTAGTTAAACGAATGATCTACTGAATATAATGACAAACTTACCAGAGGCGGGCCCAGTGGTTGGACTACATCTTGTCTCCGATAGCCGAGAACCGAAGTCCCTGTTAACACAAGTAGACCATTAAATATTAACGCATGGAAAGCCTGTACGCGAAACACATTAGATTCTTGATTACTAAGACAGTTTTCTCAGGCTGCTGTAAGTCTTAATAAATAAACTTACCTCACATTAATATAAACCGCATTGTTGTTCAAATCATGCTGACCAGCCATAATCGTTGCTTTCGTTGGCTTTTAGACTGCAAACCAGCCATTCCAAGTAAAAAAGACGGTCAAAAAATGTAGAACAGTCTCTGAAGTACGGTGCTTCAACTGAGCTTTAGTCATAAAACAGTGTCTAACAGTGTACGGCTGTAGTGCAGAGGTCAGTACTAGGGTGTGGTGGAGGTTCGGTTGCAGGATTTGACGGAAATACAGTGACTGAAACACCTTCGTTTCACGATCTCGTTGTTGTTAAACACCAAACGGGAAATAACGATCGCGAAAATTTGATTTCACGTACGGTCTGACCTTATCGCTYGTTTCTAAATCAAATAAATCAAAGTTTTGACAGGTTCGATAATGATTGAGCCTTTACRATTTTCAACCAGCATCTACGCCTGCGTGCTCGCCACTAAAGACCAAGGTTTTTGATAAACTKATTTCTTGTTTGATGAGAAACGAAAATCGAAACCTAAAAATCTTGTAACAAAATTACTATAAATTTCTGTTATTAACTTTGGCCTTCATTTAGTGAAATCTCAGTCAAAATA